GCAAGTGCTGAATAAGTTTAAAAATATAATATCAATAGGCTACTCACTGATTTGAAATTAGATATGTTTATTTCTTCTGCTGAATTTATAGCTATAGTAGTAAAAATTAATCAGTGCTGATTTACAGTACTGTGAATATCAGTACAGATTGCTTAAGTTGCTTGGTGAGACTAAGTCCTTTCCATTAATATCCAACATAGTGCCTCAAAGGGAAGTAACTGACTTTATTAGCTGCAGAGATAATTTAAGATCTTAAAAATTAATTGGAAAGAGACAAGCTTAATCCTCTTGAGTCTGCATGCTGCAGGTGAGGTAAATAGTTGGAGTTTCCAAGTTATCTTGCACCTGAAGGTGGGAGCATTGCTATTATTTATTTGCAGAAGCTAGAAAGTCTTTCCACCTCTGCAATGAAAATCACAGCCACGGGCTTTAGTCATTCAAAGGAAAAGAAAATCAATAGTTTATTCCATTATTCAGCACTTTGTATAATTTATATAACAAGAGGTTTTGATGGATGTTTTAAAGTTTTTCTTGCTTATGGAATTGATAGTGGGTGAGGGAATCCTGTGGACCCCTCCTAGGCTACGTTATAAATCTTTCCACAGCCAAGCAAATACTCACAGCAAGCCTAGGGTTTTTCCCTTCCTTTGTATTTTTTTTTTTCTTTACAAATAAATGGATAAGGCAATTAACCTTTACATTTTGTCTTAAGTATTTACTTTTGTACATTGAGGACTTCAAGGACTTAACTGCATCTTTGCAAATTGGGAATGTAAATGTTCTTTCATTGTTTACACTGGGAATCTAGCAGATTGTGAAATTTCTTTCATAGATTTATTGCCTTCTTTCTAAGTTATCATTTCTTCAACTGTCATTTATAATTTCATCAAAAACAGACCAAGTGTCTTGTAAGGGATGTGTGGATGTATGATTTTCATTATTATGTCTAGACATAGATGGAGCAAATCACCAAAATATTCTGTATACTTACTATTACACCAGTTAACGTGTGGTGAATAGCCTACCTGTTCCCAGGGAAATTTTTCAGCTGGAAAAATTTTAGTAGTCCTGTTTATCAGAGAGGGTAAAAGGAAGGTCCCAGTATTAGCTGATTCAAGATAATTCTCAGGATTTAGTTTGAACCATTTTTAAATGTCTCAAAGAGGGAAGTTTCTGCCATGTGTTTCAGTGAAGATATTTTTAAAAAATCAACAGCTGAATTAATTTGATTTTATTACTCTGATTCCCCTGAACAGCTTCAATCAGTTTTCCTACCCCACCAAGCATTTTCAAGAGTACTTTTGTGCAAATTAATTACAGAAACTAATTACTAGAATTTCTCTGAAGCAAACAGCAAAATCAAATTTTGTGCTCTTTAATAACTGAGATTTTAAAAATGCAGTATTACATGTGGTTGCATTTTCTTTTTGATGTTAAAAAAAGCCCAACAAAACAACCAAATTCTGAGAGCATTGGTCAGTTTGCTCATGAGGAGAGAATATAGAGGCAGTGAACCCTTCCTACTGGATAGACAAATCCCTCGTCCCATTACTCTGTGTGCTCACACGCAGAATGAGGCACCAAAAACAATATGCTTCAAAGAAACCCTGTAGTTTCATATATATATGTCAGTAACTGATTATGAGTTTTGCTTCATTAGGTATACAAACAGGCTGATAACCATGTGCTGCCCAACATCACAAAGCACAATGGATAAGAGAGCAGCAGTTTATCTTCAGGTAGTGTCCTCATCGAGCTGCTTTATGAATGGAAGGATTTTCAGGACTTTATTTCAGACCAAGTTTTATTGGTCTAATACTTAAAAGTAAAATTTAGTCCTGTTCCTTCCAGACAGATAATCTGTTCAGAGTACTTGAGCTGTCCCAGGGTAGCTCCCAGCATATTATCATGTTGCATTTTGTGGTCAAGGCAATCATCTACCAAGGACAATTTAACAACTCTTATGAGTTTATTTGAAGCGATAAATTTCATTTGCAGAGGAAAATACTTTGCTGTTGCTCTGATTTCCTAAAGCTGTCTTTATGCCAAAGTCAGCTTGTCCTTAGAAGAGGTTAAAATGTCTGTAGAGGTTTATAATGGGTACTTCCATGTCCATGATTTTTCAGTTAGATTTACATGTTGAGTTTATATTTCTGTTCATACTGTTAATATGGCTAAGAAAAAAGCTGCAGCAAACCACAATCCAGACACAAGGCAGTATGTTGTTTTGTGGAGCACTAATAAATTAATCCATTAGTGACTGCAAATTTATTTTGTCTCGTCCTCGTTATCAAGTATTCACAGGTGTGTATGTGTTTAGACAGTATAAATTAAAAGGGCTTTAATACTAGCAACACATTACCATAGTGCCAGGATCATAAAGCACAGTGTTTTTCCCACATCACCATGAAAATGGAGAAATACTGATAAAATAAAAAATAAAAGTGAATAATCTTTCTATCTGAGAAATATATTAGTTTCTAAGAACATAGCAATACCAGAAAGAAAGAAGAAACCACAATAACAAAAGTAAAATACAGACACATTATTTGGTTAATGACCCCATCTTGTGGAGCAGCGCCCACGCTTCAGCACATTTATAGCTCTCATATGCATTTTTTTTTTTTTACCAGAGTCCATTTCTTGATGGTGAATTACTTGGCATTGCACTTGCTGTGTCCAGGGAAGTGCTCTGCAGGCAACTGATCATCCGTGCAGCATGGCTGTGCAGCAATAGAGCAGTTCTTTGTCACACCGTGAATTGCCAGGGTCAATACTTCACATTTTAGTGTTTGGTTCAGTCTCAGGTCACCACCACAGCTCACATCCCCCACCAGCCCTGCCGGTTATTTCCTGCTGCTGTGTGTCTCTCACATGGACCTGCTGGGAGACTTTCTTGCTGTTGTTAAGAGGGGACAAAGCCATCTCCAAAGCTGGAGCTGCTGATTTGCACCACAGCAGTGCCAGCGAGAGCATTCGCTGGGCTGGTGCCTGGTCACCAAGGGGCAGTGATGGCCATAACCACCGTGTGCTGCCTTGCCAGAGTTACCATTTCCTTGTTTTCTGTTCCCAAATAGCTGCTCACAGAGCTTGCTGAGCTACTACTTGACTGGCAGCTTGGATATTTCATTGTAAAGGTTTATCCCACTGGACATCCTTTTATCGTAATCTGGGGAAATCAGCTCTGTCAGCAATATATATTATGTTGGTTGCTGAAGTTGTGTGTGCATGAGATATTAAAAATAAATCACCTGACATGTTTCCACCCTTTCCAGCTGAACATGTTTCCCAGGAAGGCTCCATATATCCTTGATTCTCACTTAAGTATAAGCCACTCAAATATGAACTGAAATGCCTTTTTTCATCTTTTTAAAGGAAAGGTATTTTTTGTATCTACTTTTTGAGAAAGTGGTTTTTAACCATATTGGTGAACTCAAAGGGAGAACTGTAGGTTGCAAATGGAAAACAGGTATAGAAGGTGTGTAGCCAAGCTAGGAAAGAAGAAATTTTTTTTTCAGTTGTTCTGCATAGACTTAATTAGACAATACTATATGATCTTCTGCCATGTGCCAATATCTTTAGTTCCTTGGAGACCAGATTATGGTGCTTTGATCTCTGCTATCGTTTTTTCGAGTAAGGAATTTTCAACTGCATTTTGACCTGATTTACAGAAGGATGCAAAGGTGTGAATTGCATGTAGATAACATTTGCAAATTTCACAGGTACAGAAAATTAGATGGGGAGAAAAGCTACAAATCTCTGTAGATACAGTATGTTTGATGCACTTTTGATATATCTGATCTCATACTTTTATAAAAATTACATTTTTATAAAAATTTACATTCCTGTCAGATGTACTAGGGATGTTTGTACGTGATACTTGAGTGTGTATCTCTGTGAGTGCAAGAACACAGATTAGAAGATAGATATGTGGAATACGTATGATTGTGAGTTATGTATTTTCAAAAGGAAAATTTTTCTCATTTGTCACTAAACTTGCATAATGTGCCTTTCCTAACACCATGCTAACAAGGTATTTATGCCATATACCATCATCTTGCGTTCTTTGCTTTTGAAGTGCATGTTTTGCCTTCTGCATGAAAATAAAATGTGGAGTTTATCAGCTGTTCTAGAGATTTGTATGCTAAGTGAAAAGAGCAAGCTGATGCTCTGTGCCTTCTCCTGGGTGGATTGAAAGGGTGCAAAAGGGGAAGAATTCCCAGCACTTTCAACAGAAACCCAAATATTCCATGATCTCATCACAGATACCAGAGTTGGCAATAATATGAAGTGTTTAAACTAACTTATGTTGGAAAATCTTTTAGCTTTGCTATGTAGTTCTTGGAGGACTCTAATTCATTATGTAAGAAAAGTGCCCTGAAATGTTTAGAAGTAATTCAGTCAGACTGGTAATTCAGTCAATATTCTAAAAGTGTTAAGATTTCTGCTTCACTTTGAGATGTCTTGAAATTATTGCATCCTGTCTGTGTGATGGCCAAGTTGGGAATGTGGCTTCTCTCTTTGCTGCTGTCAGATTTTGGTGTGCAGCAGAGACCAGGTAGGAGTCACGTTGGGTGCAAGGGTGGCTGCTGTGCTGTGCTGGGAGCTGCCAAACTCCGTGAAAGCCTTCCATTCATCTCTTTAGGTTTGGGTCCCTGTCAGAGGAAATGAAAGAAAGAACCTTGTCTAACTAAGGACAGTGGTTAGCAGCTGGAGAGAGCAGTTCAGGAGGATGGGAAGATGAAGTCCCTTTGGGTAGCTGCCTTGAACATAAAGCCAAATATAAAGGCATTCATTTCCTACCCCAAATACATGTCCCTTCATGTGACAGCTGAGTGCCCTAAATTCCACCTTTGAGGGTCAGAGTTGTGCCTTTGTTTTGGACCTGACCCCACACTGTTCTGCAGCACTGCCATATCAAGGTAAATTTATATTGTACTCTGTTGCTAACATTTCTGTTTCTTTTCTCTTTTTTCTTTTACATGCTTTCATGAGTATAGCAGACCATTTAGGAATTGAATTCATGGGTAAGTTTTAACTTCTCTTCCTTTCAATTGCTCAGATTTATCTTGGTTCCTTAGTCCAAAGAACATGAAAGTTAATGGGAAGACTCCCATGACCTCCACCTCTGGGTTTTGGGTTGGGTTCCTTTTATATTTGCCTATTACATTTGAAATTATATGAAGGTTTAATTTTTTCTCTTGTCCACTGCTATGGAGCTTAAAACCTACATAATGATGTTTTAGTATTTCATTGGTATTTAATGAAACATAGCATAAAGGTTATGTGACCATATAATCTTGAGGAACAGTATTTTATATGTGATTTTAGGGTAGAGTGACTAACTTCTTCATGTAGAGTAAAGTAAATTTTAAATCAGATTTTTTTTTCTTTTGTTAAGAATTTGTTGTTAATTACAATATTAAATTTAACTAGGTTTAATAAGAAACATCTTATTAAAGAAAATTCTCTCAAATCAGAGAAATACTTTTAAGAAAAAAAAATGCATCATTCTGTGAAAAAGTTAAATTGGTTAGAAAAAAGGCTAAAAATAGAGTGAATAATTTCTCCTTACAATTTTGGAAAGGAAGGTAACGTTCTGTTGGCTCAGCTGCAGCTCTGATGTGTTCAGAGCCTCATGGAATGACAGGCTTAACAGATCACCTCTCAGCTGGTGATCTTCAGACTTGAGGAAGCTGAGATCCATCTCTAACGGTTAGTGGTCCTTTGTGTAAGAACAGCTTGCATAAACCATTAAATATGAATGAAAACACTATAATAAAAAGCATTCAAATTCCTATTGAAGTCACAAAACAGTTACTTTTAATATGCTCTTTCCCTGTGTTAAATTTTACTTGATTTTTTAGATTTTATAATTAAGAGCCTTATAGCTTATTGATTTTAAGTTCCAACTTGGGTATTTTGTTGACCAGTAAATTATAAATTGTCAAGAACCCAATATGGTGATGAATATTAACTGCATGGCAGGCTGCAGGAGCAAGAGGAGAGCCAGCAGGTTCAGGGATTTTGTCCTACTGCTTTTGGATTTGTGCCAATCCTAGGGCGTTGTTCTCTCTAGGGAACTGGTTCATGAGGTCCAGAAGTTTTGGTTTTCACTTCACTTTATGTGAGGCTTGTAAAATGCCAGTGGAATTGATGCAAGTGTCTTCAAAGCCTTAGTGGACAAGCACAGCTGGGGAATGGTTACTTGAAAGGCTCTGAATATATTCTGCTTTTCCTGCTTAACTTAAATTGTGAGCAGCAGTCTTGAGGCATAAGTTGAAGGACAAGCATATATGTGAAAGAGGATAAGGAGTATAAATACATGGAATGCCTTGAGTGAACCTTTCTGTAAGAAACAGGAAAGTGTAACCCGAGAGGCAAAGCTGAATTATTTTAATTTTGTTTTGAGACTTTCCGTTTCCTTTTTTTTTTTTTTTTTTTTTAAGACATCTCTTTAAGGCATGAATAAACCAGTCCCTGAAATCTTGGCTCAAAATCATCCTCTCATATGAGTAGCTCTCAGATTTTTTTTTTTTTGTTTAATATTGGAGCAGATCCTAATGGCATAAAAATTAATGAAATCTTCTGTCTCAAGCCTGAAAATATTATGACAGCAGCCTAAAATGAGGCTTGAAGTTGTTTTCTCTGGGCTAGAAAAAAGCAAGTTCTGGAATCATATGCAAAATTGAAATGCTTGTGCTTCTTAAATCCTCCTCTAGTCTTCATGAAGATTTACTTAGGAAATGAAAGCATGCATGGAATCATTGCTGTACATGTAGCACAGTAGAAATCTACAGCCTGTGCACAGAGAGTTCAGGTGACAGTATGCTCATCAAATTAGGGACTCTCCTGTAAAGCTTCTATGATAACTTTAGTTCTGGACTGTAGAAAATAATGACAATTAGTGCAAAGAGTGTTTTCTAACTAGAAAAACAACAATGTAGAGACAGTGCTGAACTTGCTTTGTTTGTATGTAATCCAGAGAACACTCTTTTTGTCATTGTATTTGTGGGCTCAGTTGCCTTAGAAATTCCATTTTCACCATCATCTTCCAGAAATTTTGTTTGAAAACCGTTACACCATGTACCTTGGATTGCCAGGGCCAGCTGAATTCCTTCCATGGTAGACAAAGTTGAAACTTCATGTCAGTGGGAGCATCTGTCTGTAGAGGTGTCCCAGGGGACAGATGAAATGTGCACTGAAACTACACTCCTACTTTAGTGTACGTTTGCCAAGGAAGGTAGATAAGTGTAGGCATTGTCTTTTTTTTTTTAATTTTTTTTTTTTTTTTTTGCTTGACTCTCTAGGGTCAGTGAAGTGTATATACATAGCCAGTCCTTTTACTGTCCTGTTAGGGAGCTGTGGCCCATGAAGTGAAGTGTATATACATAGCCAGTCCTTTTACTGTCCTGTTAGGGAGCTGTGGTCCATGAATGCTGTTTGTGTATGCTGTTGTGACCCAGTTGGTGCTGTTTTCCCCCACGAGCTCCTGTGGCAGCCCATACCAGTGCTCAGTAGAGGCAGTGTCTGTTGCTTTTCCATTACCTGTTGAATTCTCCTTCCTGCTGGACCCTCCTCTCACAAACAGTACTTTGGGAACAAGAATTATGCATTCAGTTTATGTACCACACTGAATTTTGTGTTAACCTTGCTCATGGTCTCACACCCCATTTCCTGTCTGGGTCTTGTCAGGTTTGTGTTCTGTAGAATATTCAGTATTGTGCATTCCAAAACTTGAATACCTGTTACTTTAATATTTCTGCTGATATTGATTTACACTGTCTGTTTCTTTGTATGGGTAGCAGAGACAAAGGCAGGCATATTGATATGGCAAATCTGTTTTAAAATGTTGCAAATGTAGCAATTAACATGTGGTTCTGATGTATTCATGTGCAGTACCTCCTGAATTAAATGAAAGCCAAGTATGTGGTCAAGGGACATTATGACCTTAAAGTTGTGGATTGAAGTATTGTCATCAGCGGTCCAGCTTTATGAAACTTCTGGTGATAAAAAAATGGTTTATATTTTCTAGTACATATAAAAAAAAAAAAAAGCCTTGTGTCTGATTGTCACTTGATTCAATATCCATCTCTGATGCAATCTCCTGGACAGGCTTTGGGCAAGGTCTTTTAATCTCTCTCTGCTTCAGATTCTCAGTTGCAGTAAGTTTTTTTAAGGTTTTTTTTTAAGGCTTTCTTAATTTAGATTCCTCAGCTCTCAAGGGGATATCTTTCAGTACCACAGAAACTATTTCTTCCTTGTCAGAGGGTGCAGACTTGGCTGTGTCCTCTCCCCTCCTCGTATGGGAGCAGAGCGGGGTGAGGAGAGCACCTTGCAGCTCACCTGGTCTGTTTGGTGCCCTGTGTCTCACCAGTGAGGATACATGCAACTTTATTCACATTTCCAACGCAAAAGTAAGGACAAGTTGTCATCATGTTCCTACAAACTGGAAACATTTGAGCAGCATTAACAATTCTGTGTCAATGGGAAACAGGCTGGTGGTTGGTAATGTGTATGTGAGCAAGAGAGATTGTTAAAAAAAAAAATCAAAGAAGCAGGTTTTATACAATGAAAAAACTAAGTGATGTATCATTAGTGTTAGAGAGCATGGGGGTACAAGTATCTACAGCTTATAATAATTTTTTGACCCAAGTGGTTAACTGCACTTCAGGGCGGAATGGTTGACCTTTCTGGTGAAAATTTTGTTGATGGGGGAAAATATCTGTGACAGCAAACGTGGTCACTTTGGAGCAGCAGGTAGCAGCTGAAAGCTGTTGTGGAGCTGTAGGGTGAAATCATTACCTGAGAGTCATCTGTGGACGTTCTGAGCTGCGAGCCAGTGCCTGAGACAAGGAGCTGCCTTTTCAACTCATTTCTTACACTGAGGATGAGTGGAGTTAAGGTGCATGAAGCACAAAGGTGAGTATTGGAATAACCTGCTACAACACAGGAACAAACACAACTGTTTCCACAACTTGCTTACACCACCTACTCTGATGATCCAGAATGATGATCTTTTGTGCTCTAACAGTAATTTATGGTGGGTACAGCTGGAAATAAAATGCTCCAATAAAGTGCAGCAGCCACTGCAGTTGATGGAAATACAGACATAACATGAAGTTGTCTTTATCCTTGTGCTCCTTACCAGTTAAACTGGTATCAGTGGTGTAAACAGTTTTGGTGTGATAATCTCAGTCTCCCTATGTGTGAATTACAGAAAACCAATGCAGCGTTATTGTATTTAGTCACTACTTTTAATTTGTTTATTCTTAAGACTTAGACAGTTAGTATTTTTCCTCAGAACTACTCATCTTTTCTGGAAAAATCAGGAGCTTCACTGAAGTCAATGGAGTATGAATGGTATATAATATCTTGTAAGTGCTGAATCATTAAATAGCATTTAATTGAGCAGAGTAATAAAGTAACTCAGGAATGGGATCCTATTAAACTTTATAAATCTCCTTGCAATGACTACAGTGTGAAATGTGTTCTGTGGTCTGAGTAGCTGTTAACACTGGAGAAGATGGTGCATGCTGTATTTTCACTATGCCTATTCTTGCTGCCTCCTCATTGTGCTAAGGGTGATGTAAGACTCTGGGAATACCTGATCCAGTTAACCAGATTGACCCAGTGACCTTGTGTCACACACTGTGACTGATGCATTTTGATTCTTACAAACTGCAAAAGTTGGTTTTGCTGATGGGCAGGATAACAAATAGTGCAACAACTTCGCATTTTTCCAGTATGCCAGAAATAAAAATGCAAAGTTCATTAGTCCTTGCACAGCTCAAAACCTGGGAACCTGGATTCTTTCCTCTGAAACTCAATGTTTTGCAGTAGCAACCAGAAAATGATAAATAACCAGTGTGTGCATGGATGGCCCTTGCCTTAGCTACCATTTTGAAGTTCTTATCTGTTATAAAGCCCTGTAATGCTCCAGTCCTTGCTGGAAGAGAGGATGAACGAACATTCATTGAATTACATGACCAAAACTGTATGTGTTCTAAAGGTTATATGTTTAAAACATAAAGAAATTAAGTTCAGTTTCCCCCGTATTCTTTTTTAATAGTATAAAGCAGGTAGATCTTTTGCTGATAATATGGCACACTGACTGTTTTTATGCTCGTTTGCACAAAATCTTATTAGAGATACTGATCACAATCATCCCCCAGAACTATGGGACCATATCTTTCTAATAATTGTATTGTTATTAATCAATAAGCATTTAAATGCTTCCATCTGTACTCTGTTGGTAAATTTCTGAAAAGCTAAGAAGGGCTATTCTGGTAGGCATTGATACTTGCAATGTTTTCTACCGTCATCATCACTCCTTGAATCCCTTTGTTCTTCACCGTGCCTCAAATTTTCATTACCTCCTTCTGTTTCTTTTAAAACTCAGTAAAGGCTTTGCTCTTGGGACCTCATCTTTCAGTTTGCCTTATGGAATACCTGTCCTTTTTAAGTATGCTGCAAAATAACAATAGCATCCTGAGGCATGAAATGGATTTAGACCCTCAGCACTTTCCATGGAATTCACTTAGCTGGGAAGAGGAGTCATTTATCATCTCCAGAGGAAAGAGACATGAGCAGCAGAAGAGAGTTCTACAGGAACAGCTGATGCCTGAGTGCTGTAAGAGCAAGGCATGGAGCAGAGGCTCCTCAGGGGCTGCAGGAAGCTCTGCCAGTGGTTGTACCTGTTTAGGAGAACATAGCTCCTAAATGAAAGTCACTGTGCATCTGGTGCAGTAGTTGCAGGCTGCCTCACATCTTGCCTCAGTTTAGGGCATATGGTTCTAGTTTAGTTGAGAGGGAAAGATTTTTACCTAAATGTTTTGTGACCTATCTTGGTTTGGTGCTACCATCTTTACTTTTCTTTATATGTCATTTTTCCAGTTTATCTGCACTTTCTGTATTGGCAGTGAACTGGGTTGGATTAACTTGCATTATTTTTAAAAGGTTTACTGTGTAGTTAACTTATGTGTGTCATTAATTGCCTTATTGTGATGCTTTATCAAAATAGTAATTCCATGAACTAAGTGGATAAAATAATTTTAATGTATATAACTTACTCTGGTGACCATATCTTGTATTTGGTTTCTGTTGTTCTCTCTAATTGAACCTCCTGATCATTTGTGATGGAACTTACAGAAATTTAAAAACCAAAAGCTGATAAGAAGGTGTACTGACAATTTGAGAAAGCCAGAGCTGTTCTGGGTTTCTCTGTTTTGCTGGGGTCTGGGTTAGGAGGAGGAGAAAGTTGCGTTAGGTGAGGTCTGTATCAGGCTGTAAAAGGGGCTGTGCATCATCCTTAATGATGCATAAGAACTGTTACTCTGTCACTGCCACGGTGAATGTGGACTGAGTTCCACTGTGTGCTGACAGGGGGCCACTAATAAGGTCCAAGTGTTACCTGTGGGTTAGAAAAGAATTTGTGAAGCCTCAGAAATGGATGTTGTGTACAAGCCTCCGGGTAAGTTTCCATGTACCTCCTAGTGCCAGGTACGAGACTCTTCATCGTGCCAGTTTCAAAATCCTTGGCACCTCAGGGGGAAGGGCATGGGCTCCCAGGCTGGATTTCAGCTGAGGATGCAGCATCTCATCTGCTCACAGAGGGGCTTTGCTGCGTCCTGTCTCTACATACACATACTATGTGCACATTCTGGGTGGGATTGGGCATGTTCCCTAGGTTCCTGCACAGCTGGTGTGCCTCAGAGTTAAACACTTTTTATCATGAAATACAGGTAATTAGATGGCTTCAACACTGAGCAGACAGCTGTGTATTTAAATGTGACCTTATACCCAGTCAGTCTCATAACCTGCATTTTGAATATGGTATTTAGGTAAATGCTGTGCTGCGCCTGAGGAATTGTTAAAAGTGACACAACGGTATGCTAATGCAATTACATGACTTGCAGTGCTGAGATTTGGCCTTTGTTTGGGCTCAGTTGCAGTTTAACCAGATGCAAAAATATGTAGACAGTAACTTGTACATTGCTGAAACAAGCCTAGCAGGGCAAAGGTGAGATCCACGTGTCAAAGGTGGTGCTACAGACAGCTGCCACAAGATCTGCCAGTGACACTTCCTATTTCCAGTTGAGAGAGGACTGGGAGGAGGCTTCACAGCAGTGCGTACCATCTGGATGTGTCCGTGAGAACTTGGGATCTGTTGTTTGGGGTGAGGGGGATTTGTTATTATTTGTAGGGTTGCTCACTGTGTGTTGAGGTTATCTTGACACAGGAGGAGAGGCTCCAAACACCTGATCTGCACCGTGTTTGTGCAGCCACAGTGAATCAGTGCTGCTTTGCCCTTTTGCTGCTCGGAGCTGCTGCCTAGATGTGAAGTCTCATTCAGTAAATGATGCAAGGATTTGGGAAGCAGAACGTAAGTACCTCAATAGGTGTTCCATGGCAGTGGTGCTCTTGTAATGTGTACTACAGTTGTATAGAAAAATCAATGGTTTTGACAGTGAACTAAATCTTTTTCTGTCCTTCTGTGTCCTGCCTAGAATGAGTAGAGACGGTGTCCTGCCAGTAATTGCTGGAAGCAGAGGAGAAGGGTAAGCAGTGTGGAAAAATTGGCAGTGTGCTGCGTAGAGCACTAAGTTATTGTTTCATGCACTGCCTTTTCTCTTCTTTTGCAGGAGCTGTAGGATATTGGCACGTGGAGAAGCGCAGAGATAGTCCTACTCTGGCTGACAGTTTCTAATAAAGATATTTTTATTGTAATTGAAAATTGTCTCATGATCATTTCCTGTTCCAATCAGCATCGGGTTATTTTCATTTCAAGCATGATTCTGCTGGAAAACACTCTGTCCAGTGGCCTAGGGTATCTGTTGGTATTGCTTCAGACTTAACAGCCAACATTATCTGGGACACAAGCATGAGCAGCGCAAAAGGAAGAGGAAAAAACAGATCCTGTGTATGAGTGTGCAGGTGGTGTTCTTGTATGCTTAGTTCTTAACAACCGTGGAAATAATCTTAGAGTTGCTTGTAAACTGTTAGATTCAGATGACAATTTTTTGTTTACCACTGGTGGCTTTTCTTCACTGAATGGTTAAATAAATCACCATGAGGTATTTTCATGTACTATAGATCCAGATCCTTTTGGATCATGTTCATGTAATTTACTCACTGCATTTATATCTATTGCATCAGTCATCCTGTAATTATCATATGAATTAGTATGATCTCTTTATTTTTGTGCTAAGTTAATTATGTACTACTCCATGCCTACTTTACCAAGTAAACTCTATTGTAATATAGTTTTGCTCTATGGTTATTTTTTACGTCTTTTGGTAATTTTGCGTTTCACATTCAAATAGAACATGAAAAGTGGAAATACAAAAATAACCTGGTAATGGAGGAGCACAAAATGGGACAGTATATTCGTTCTCAGCAGAGCTAACTAAAACAATTTAGGGTCTTCACTGTTCAATAGTGACATACAAAGTAACAGGGAAGAGCCAAACAAAATTAATTAGAGCAAGCAGTTTATAGAGGAGATAAAAGAGAAAAAGCAGTTTATTTGCCATTGAGAGCATTACTACTTCTATTAGTAGCTTCCCAGAGCTTGCTGTTAATTGCTAGGTGTGTAAGTTGTTTCCTCATTGAAATAATGACCGTAGTCACCCAGAGTTCAAGGTTTTAAGTAATGCAAGGAGCACGGAGTGAAGGCAGCTGATGCTTTTCCTTAGGGCAGTGCTGGTGGCTGCCTGCCTAAGCCTGGCCTCCCTCGTGCTCTAACAGCTCTTGCCAGTCCTCTGTGCCATGAGCTAAAGTTCTTCAGTGCTGTAAAGACTTGAGTATCTCAGTGCAAGCCAAGAGTATTTAAAACTGATGCCTACAAAGGCTTTGGGTGTTTTCAGAGTGTTAGTTGAGTGCATATTTTGAGAATTATAGTTGGACTTAATAAGAGTTACTTTTGTGTTGTTCTTGATTTCTGACTAAAACACATGGAAGTCAGTGGATATTTTGGTATCATGTATGTTATTTCTAATATAATGTACAGAACCTGAAATCAGGATCCAGTGTGTGACTAGACTGACATATGAAGTGAGCCTGTCCTTTTCCTGATTGGCTCCAAATTACCTAAATCTAAAAAATTGGATAAACCTCTCAGCAGTAGTTACAAAATTGAGTATGTACAAGTAATTTGGTGCAATTGTGCAAAACTAGTAGTATCTTTGTTCCTCTCTTGAACTTCCATTCTTTTTCTCCCTACCTGTTATCTTTTGTACCTTCCTGATTGTTTTCTCTTTTTTTAATGTACTCCTGGGCACTTTCTTTTTGTGTTAGTTTCGTAAATCTGCTGATCAATGAACTTACTCTGTTTAAGTGTGTTGCTGTTTGCAGCAGTGACTACAACTCATTAGTATCACAAACTGCTCTATTTAGCTTTAATGGAGAGTACAGCGTGCACACACTGAAGTTTTACTCATTTATTATCATAATGCCCTCTCCTGTACCCAGAAGTAATGCAGCATTTGAAAAATGGAAATCACAATATACACTAACTTTACCAGCTCATAAAATATGAATGCTCAGAAAATGAATACAGCAGTGTTAAATACAGTTAATCAGCTTTAGAAACACAAAAATACGTATTTATCACTATAATATGTGCATGCATGGGGTATTAATGAAAATACCAGATACATCATTTTCTGTGTTTATTCTACACTGTGCTCATTACTCCCATTCAAATAATTTGAATTTGTTTTTAAGATAAGGACGATTTGCTGCTGATGAGAAAAGTCTGGATGTCTTCATATTCTGCACTGAATATAAAGCCAGCTGGGCTGGAGATTTTGTACATTAAAGTGGGCTGACAGGGTAGACCTTGAAAATTGTTGAGTTGTAAATAGTGCACATAGTTGCTTTGTTAGGAAGTGTATCATAAAAATATAAGACTTTATTAAACTCATATTAACAACCTACCTCAGTGAGAGTGTGAGACTGTGACTTCTGCTGAATTTTGCTACCTGAAGGTTTTTTATGCTTCTGTACTTTAGGTAATGTGCTTAAGTCAAAACCAAGAAAGTGGCTTTGGTTGGGTGTTTGTTTGATGAATGATGAAGAGAAAATTACAAAGACAAGTGAATTTATTATTTCAGTCAATTTTTTCTAGTGACTCGATCTAGCATGTTTTAAAAATTTCTCTTGCCTGATGGAGTCTCTTTTCAAGGTAAGGTGGTACCAGAGCATCTCATTCTTTCAATTAGTAGTGAATCCTGTCTTGAAATAAGATGGCTGACCATTGGTGGGAGAAGGTGAGTGAATCCTATAGAAATCCTGTAGAACAAATCAAGTCCCTTTAAATTTATTCCATAAAGTTACTTAAAGGCGAACTGGAGAGAAAAAGTAGATGTAATTGTCTTAAATTATGCTGTTTCTTTGAAATAGGTATTTGTGTGTTTTTTTCAAAAAATTGCTTTTAAGCACATATTCTAGTCAAGTTTTTGTTCTAAAAAAACTGTGAAAAATATTCAATTAAACCACAGAGAAAATATGGAAATTCTGTTACTTATTTTTTATTGAATGCAAGTGGTGATTTGTGAGAACTACACTGGATGGCCAATATCTGACTTGTCAGTATTGGGTCAAAGGTTCTTACTTGACTCTGATGAAATTGATGTGGCTAGAGGACAGCTGAAAGACAATTCAAATGTATGCCTTGGTAGTGATGCTGCTTTATCCAACTTTATGTCAAGAGTTGTTTCCTCAAAGGGTGAGTAATGTAATGACATTGCCTTGTTTTTTTCAAGTGCTTTGTAATTTTTTCTATACCTTTAAAGGTGTGTTAGTATCCATGTGTCAGCTGTTTTGATGGTTTCATTGCCTCAACACTTTTGTGGATGGGACTTAGCATTATGTAGGCCATGAATCAGTTTGGTAAACATCCCATTCAGTCTGCTCAGCCATGCTCAGTGAAAGTCCAACAGTCCTTGTGCAAAGAAAATTCAGAATCGCCTACAAGTCTGCAGGTATAACTCTGACTGTGGCAAATGCCTTGTGAATTCAGAATTGAAATGTGCTCCAGACACCTTCCTGGATGTCCAGCCTGTGTTCCTGGTTCTGGTGATGCTAGTTTAGCAAAAATGGGACACAGTCTGTTCCTATTTGGAACTGTGTTGAACATGGTGGGAAAACTATTCGCTTTTTTAAAAGTCCATTCTCTGCCTCCCCAATCCCCCAAATATGCTCCATTTACCTAAATCTTTCTTCAATTTAAATTTGTAGAGTTTTTTTCTCTTAATAGAGCATGCTAATAAAAATTCATGAAACTAGCAGTATATGATTCACTTGCCAGGGAATTATCTTCCCATAATACCCCGATGACTTTTTCTCCCATTATATACTCCTCATTTTATGGTGCCAAGATGTGTACAATCAATCATTTAATTTACAATTTTGTCATCTTTGATCAGTCACTTTGATACCTTCATCTTATCCTTCTTTTTTTTTGCTCTCAGTGTTATAAAAAATGTGGATGCTCATGTTGGTAGCACAGCTGTGCTGATGAACCTGCTTGCAAAGTCTTCTGCTGTTCAAAGGAGTCTGTCTCTCCCTGTCATTATTCGTGTCACTGTTCTTAAGAACAGCTTTTTAGCTCTTTACTTCCTCTGGCTGTTTTCCTTTCCTCTTCCATCATTTGTCACAGCTCTGCAGCCATCTCTCACTCCCTGCTTATTTTCGTATCACTGTTACTTCTGGTGTCAATGTTATCTTTTTTCCCTTATAAAAAGTCTGTAATGTTAAATTTTCCTAATTATTCATAAGGCCATATATGAAGACCTGCATCTATTATTCAGAGCTCCTTATTTCTTTTATTATAAAGCCTAGAACCTCTTTTATAATTCAGTAATAAATGAGAGCTTTCAGTTTATTCAGAGTTTTTTTTGTCAACCTCATGTTTGTCTCCCAACTGTCTTTTAGTTAATTGTGCAACCCCTGCAATGCAAGGAGACTTGTTAGAATCATTTAGAGTATCCCTTCCCTCGTTGCTGTCTCTGTCTTCGTGCACTGGCCTCTCTGTGCAATATATTTGAAGTAGTTCTTGGTCTACAATAGATTATTTACTAGCATACAAATCTTCTTTCTCTAATTCTTTCCTCCAGTCTTTTATCTGTGAGTATTACTGAAAAGTTACTGCCTTTTTACCTTTAAGGAGGTGCTAATTCAATTTTTTAAAGTTTTATTTTGCTTCATGCCATTATATGCTCCCACATGTACTTTTTTTATTTATGTTCCCTGTTGTCTGTAATTTCTGTCCTCTAGAGCAGTAGTTGGTGTGCCTATGAGTTACCTTCTTACTTTAAAAGTATTTGTAAAAGGGATGTCCCAGAACCCCTGCATGATTCAGGGGTGGAACCTGAAGGTCTCTAACCTGAGGCTCAAAGCAGGGTCAACTCAGGTGCCACCAGGCTGCTCAGGACTTTATCGAGATTAATCTTAAAAACCTAGGACTGCACGACTTCCCCAGGCAACCTGTTCCAGTGCTTGGCTGTTCTAGTGGTAAAAGATTTTCCTTATAGCTAGATAAAATGGTTCAATTTGTTATTTTTCTGGAAAATCTCTGGAATAATGTGTTTTCTGCTACTTGATATTTTGTGATTCAGACAAATAATTGCTTATTGATACTCAACTCTCTGCTTATTTACAATGCTGTGCTCTGGTAGGTAAAAAAGAATT